CCTATCCTTAAAACCATTGCCACTCCAGTGTTGGCCAAATCATACGACGAGCCCATCGGCTATTCGGCCCCCATTCTGGCCAAGGCCTACAACTCACCCGTTGTTAAGCACGTGTACACCAAGTCTGGCGATGAGGGCTATGGCTATTAAATCGCACATTTAAAGCTGATCTTGTTCATTTTATGATCTAATCTACCCTTTTGTATATTTTATTTTACCTTTATATATTTTATATCTATAGATTTAATATGCATTCGAGTTTTATTTAAAAAAAGAAATTGTGATAATTTGCGAGAAATAAATAAATAGCATTTTTTATTGAAATACATGTTTTATAAAAATTATTTCACAACAAAAGTAATTTAATTGAAAGATAAGAAAGTAAATTAAGTTTTTAATATGAATAATAAATTAAGTATTTTCTGTTATCAATAAATAAAAATAAATAATTTTATTGTTTTTGTTTGCCATTAAATGATAAAATTCAAAGTTAACAAAAAACTTAACTTTTAAATAAATTAAAATACAATTTAGGATAAAATGTATCAAAAATTTGAAAAACAAATAAATAATCATTAAATACCTAAAGAAATAAATTACTAAAATAAAAATAAACGATTAATAGCTTATCCCATAGAGAGAAAGCACCGGGAGGTGTGAACATGATTATTTAGGATATGGGTTGCATACACTGGTACAGGAAAGATTGGGCTTACAGTCCATTTCTGTTTCACACCGGGCGACGGGTGACCGACGGGTGAGTCCAGACCAACACCACTCGTCCGATCGACCAAATGAATAGCATCGGGACCAACACCGGCGCCGAAAGCACCCGTAAGTGGTCGGCAGTCGCTGAGGTATACCACGGTTTCGCGGAGTGGTCTGACTGATGGCCAGTCCCACAAACGACACCACAATCAGTGCGACAATCAGTTTGATATTCATTTTCAGCTTGAGGTTTGAGTTTTTTTCAAATGATTTATTGACTTGTTTTTCAATTTTATGAATGAATAACTTTTCCTAATAATTGTCACATCTTTTTATACACTTTTGTTAAATAGTGTATTGATTTGTATTGCGATCGCCGGATGTTTATATCGCACACAAACATATTGTATTGATTTTTATGGGTAATCGTTATAATAACCTTTGAATGAGAGTATGGGATGGGATGTCATCCATGGGTTCATTTACCTGTTGTCTCGCGTTTTTTTGTGACAATTGTGTTATCAATTGATTTCATCGAAAGTAAAATATTTTGCATTTCTCACAAAAGTCTGCAAAACTTTTACATAATATTAATGTATTTAGTAATGCAATCACAAAGAACGAGATTATTTTTCTTAATCTTTACATTGTACAAGTCAAATTACAAATAAAACAATTTATTATAAATAAAATCTCGAGATGTCTTAAACATAAACCTAAATCAGTTTCAAAACCAAAATAACTGCTTTTAATTCGCAATAAAATCAATAAAATGTTTAGAAAATAACTGAAATTAACTGAAAGTCTTAATTTGCAAATCATAACTAACTGATAGTGTAAGTGAATGAATGGATGGCCTGATTGTAGGACTAGTGGTCGGGTTTGGTGTTGTGTTTGTGTTGATAATGGCTTGTATTATAATCTACTGTTTGTGGCAAAGACCNTAGATATAAAATATATAAAGGTAAAATAAAATATACAAAAGGGTAGATTAGATCATAAAATGAACAAGATCAGCTCTAAATGTGCGCTTTAATAGCCATAGCCCTCATCGACAGACTTGGTGTACACGTGCTTAACAACGGGTGAGTTGTAGGCCTTGGCCAGAATGGGGGCCGAATAGCCGATGGGCTCGTCGTATGATTTGGCCAACACTGGAGTGGCAATGGTTTTAAGGATAGGCTGGGAGTAGGCCTTAGCGTAAAGTGCGGGCGAGCCGTGTTGTGAGCCATGATTGATGCTAACACTGTATCCGGAGGCTCGGGGTCTATGGTGTCTGTCGTGTCTGCCATAACTATCATCTCTGTTATAACTATCGTCTCTGTTATAACTGTCGTCTCTGTTATAACTGTCGTCCCTATCGTATGACTTGCCATATATGGGTCGGGCAATGGGTCCGTGAACGGGGGTCTCGTACGAGCCCTCATCATAAGAGGGTCTGTAAATCGGCTGATTATATGGCACTTCATAGCCATTTCGGATGACCGGCACTCTGTAGTCAATGGATGGCTCGTCATATGATTTGGTGATTATGGGCCGAGAGTATGAGCGGCCATACGTCGGGATCGACACCGCGACCGATATAAGCGCTGACAATACAATCTATGGTATAATTTAAATTAGTTTTTAGTTAATAAAGCGTTTAATTAAATGTGAATTATAATTGCATACCAATGAATTCATTGTGAAGTTAAAGCTCTTTGAATGACAATTGTTGGATGATTGAGACACTGGTTTTGTGGCACTATTTATATTAAAAACTTAATATTCAAATCCTTGGAAATATTTAATTTCTTAATAAATTGACAAAAAAGAGAGAAATAGTTTCACAAATAATAAAATACTATTTTAATACTAAATCCTTGGTCATGTGAACTACAAAATTCATTGTTATTACCAATTTGTTTATTTGTTTGCGTTTATTTCAACATTTCCATAGACTTTTCTAAAAATACAATTAAACTAATTATTATTGAAATGGTTTCGACTTTTATTGCAACTTATATTTCGAGGATTTTCTTCTTAAATACAAGAAATGGTTCAACATTTCAAAGCCATAATCAAAGAGAGGGTTTTTGCCTCAAGAAATCAGACTTTGGTTATCTGAAGGATAGATAAATATTATTTGAATTGATTTATTTGACTTTACTGTGAATAAGATAATCAATACTAACTAAATTGATATTAATTTCCAGTAATTAATAAACAATTTATGAATGGTTTGTATTGATGTGATAGACATTAGAGTGAATCATCATTTTAAATTATATCTATTATTAGTTGTCCACAAATTTAAACACAAATTTCCATCAAAACATAATTTTTTCTAAAGAAAACTGCTTTTATATAAGATTAGACTTTAACTGTTGTATAATATATTTAGCAATAGATGTAAAAAGTGCCAGAATTTTATTTAAATTGATCGACAATTTCCTGATTTAAACATATATTTTTAATGTTTTTACAAAGTGCCTTATTTTTATATTAAATTTGATGACATGTATGATCTTGATTTATTGCTGGTATTTTAAATGGTGATAATGTTTATACTGTATTAAGTAACAAACTTTATTAGAATTACAAGAGTTAATCAGATTACTGTTAACACTTTTATTTGTGTACATTTTGCTAACATTTTACTAATTTCTAGGAATTCCCATAAACTACAATTTTGTATATAATTGTTATTTCATTTAAATTAAAAATTAAACACATTTTATATAAATCATTTAAAATTTAAATAATTACAATAAAAGCTGTTATCAATCCTTGAATTTTCTTATAGCCTAAACAAACGTTTCATTTCAAAATTGGTATTTTAATAAAACTATTTAAAAATTTATTTATTTACTAATTTTAATAAGAATTAAAACTAGAGGGTTAATTCATTTGATCAAACTAAAATTTATTCAATTGACTCATTTAAATAATAAATATTTATTTTTTATAATTAAAGATCTAAATAAAACTATTATTTTGCTTCCAGCAATTTTAACAAAATATTTTTATCTCGTTCATTTATAAATAAAGTTTATATCATTCTACTTTATATCATTTAATTATAATTATAATAATATCTATTTAAATATCAGAATTGGCAATAAAAACAATAAATAAAATAAAAATTACTGAAAAATATTTCAATAGCGAGAGAAAGCAATAAACTATAATTCAATGAAAATTATAACTAAATCTAATTTAAAAAGAAATCAAAATTAAACAAAATTTAATTTATTTAACGCTTAAAATCAATGAGAAGTAAATTAATTGCACAAAACAAACAATTGTATCCCAAATACAACGCGTAAATGAATTAAATGATTGATTGATTGCTTTTGTGAGTAAATCAAAAATAAGATGCAAATTGGTTTTCAGCTCAAATAGATTGTAATTAATTGTCATTTATTTTAATTAAAATTTTAAAGCATTTGTTACGGAAGATATGAACGAAACACTAATTTAGTTCCGATATATCCTTATTATGTAAAATATATGGTAATTGTTTCCCCAAAAGTTGATATATTGAACCATATATTAGACGACAAATTATACACATAATTAGGCGCCCATTAGTTTTGCCATCAATAGGCAATTTTCCTCTCTCTCTCTCTCTCTCTCTCTCT